GAACACTGACAGCATAATAGAACATTACTATGCTGTCAGTGTTCATTTAGAGATATATATATATTTAAAGGCAAAATATAACCTTAAACCACCACCACCAAGGCAGTAGCACAGAAATGGAATCAAAGTCATCATGTAACTAGGCTACTGTTAACATCAAACTTTGGCATATTAAAGATACCTGTGGTAACTTCTCAGAGAAACACCACACAGGACCTACTTATTAGTGGAGGAGAAAAGTATGAAATCATTTTTTAATCCAAATGAAAACAAGAATTGAAGGAAACAGTAACATAGAACAGGCAAGAAATAGGCAATGACAGATACCATTAAGCCGGAATATTTAAAACCAATATAATGATGTTTATTACTGTAAACAGAATAAATACTGAAGTTTAAAAAAGATTTTTTTTTTTTTTTTTTTGACCATGCCACACAGCTTGCAGGATCTTAATTCCCCAACCAGGGACTGAACCTAGGCCCCAGCAGTGAAAGTGCTAACTCCTAACCACTGGACCACTAGGTAATTCCCTTAAAAAAGATTTTAGACTGAACAAAGAAAAAAATTTCAACTATGTATTTGTCAGATATATTGAAAACATAATAATGAAAAGCTGACAATATAAAAACAGACATATTTACACTATGCAGTGGTTTGAATATACTAGTATCAGATAAACTGCTGTAAGAGCAAAAATTATTAGGAGAAATAGAATCACTTAGTAACACATAAGCAAAAATATAAATACAGGAAGAAACGAAGTACACCCACAATCACAACAGTCATGAATATGCCTCTCTTAGTAACTGACAGAACAAGTGGCCAAAAGTCAGAATACAGAAGATTTAAACATGGTGATTAAATGCTATGATTAACAAAACTTGTCATAATGACACTATAAAGAAAAGCAAAGGATAATCATAAAAAGTAGAACAGTGGTTGTTTCTAGAGTATTGGGAGGGAGTTATGATCAGGGAAGGTTTCCAGGGTGCTGGAAATATTTTACTTTCTGACCTAAGTAATGATTAATGGAGTTAACTTCATAATGACTGCCCGGAAACATTTTTTGTGAAGGACCAGACAGAAGTACTTCAGGCTTTCCAGGCAACATAACTGTGACATATTCTTCTTTGTCTCTACAACTCAAAAAATCCAAAAATCATTCTTGGCCTGCCAGTTGTAGGCTGTAGTTTACCAACTCCTGAACTCAAAGGCTCAGGGTTTGTGTCCTTTTTGTATTTAACAAAAAAATATAGAAGAATCACTTAGGAGGGAAAAAGCTAAAATAATTCTTTATCTGTTTTTATATTCTTCTCTTTCAACAAACAGTCATGAGTTCCCACTGTGTACCCAACACTGTTTTGGGTGTTAGAGACTAAAAACTGAACAAGAGCTCTCTTCTATGCCAAGGAGTGAGGGAAATAGTTAAAATGATTACACCTTTATGTAACGAACAGTGTAAGAGATGGAAACAGTAGTAAATGAAACAAAGGTACAGTTCTCTTGGGATTAACATTCTGGTGGAAGATGATGGGCAACAAACTAACTGTATAGTTAAAAATTAAGATATGTAAATTAAATAAAAATATTAAAATTATGCCACACAATGACGACAGTGAGTGATGTACAACACACAACATGGATGAATTTCACCAAAGTAATGTTGAATGAAAAAAACTAGACACCAGAGTATATTATATACTGTATGATTCCTTTTATACACTGTATAAAAAGAAAAAAAAAAAAACTCATCTACGCTACTACTAGAAGTCAGGACAGTAGCTATCCCCAGTGGCAGGGAGGGGGCTAATAACTGAAAGGGAACACAAGGGACTTTCTGGAAGGGCTGGTATCTTGTTTCTTGTGCTAGTATAGCTGGTGAAAATTCATTAAGCTGTAGATGTACATGTATACTCTTCTATATGTATAAATATGAATCAACAAAAATTGAAATATATATATCAAATTTTAAATACATATGCCAGATAGTAATAGCTAAGAATTAAAGCAGGATTAGGGACAGAGTTACAAGGTGAGAGGGACTGTTATTCAAAGAAGTTGGTCAGGAGAGACCTCTCTTGACAAGGTCATTTTTGAGCAACAGTCTGATGAAGGACTTGCTCATCATGCTATTCTTGGAAGAGGAAATAGCAGGTACAAAGGCGCTGAAGTAAAGAGTGCCTCAGAGTGTTCACAGAACTTCCAGGAGGCCAGTGTGGCTTGAGTGGCAGAGGGAGAAGGGGAGCACATGGAGTCAGGTGGACGTGGGCAGCAAAGATTATGTAGGAGCTTCTAGACCATGTAAGCCTAGAACAGTCTGGACAAGCCCCTGGCCAGTTCTGAACAGGATCTGACTTAAATTTTTCAAGAATCATTCTGGCTACTTACTATATTGAAAATAGGTGAGACACAGGCAGAAACAAGGAGACTACTTTGGAGACTGATTCAGAGAACCAAATGAATAGAAAAGAGGGTGGATTCGGGAATTTTTTAAAAAGAAAATAAGATTTTGATGGATTAGATATGGGGCATGAAGGTATGATCTGAAAAACTGGACACAGTAAACTGTTATCTATAGGGACAGGGTAGACTACAAAGAGAGCAATTTGTTGTTGTGCTAGTTAGCAAGAGTTCCTCTGTGGATTTTTTAAAAAATTTATTTATTTATCTATTTATTGTTGGCTGCCCTGGGTCTTCATTGCTGTGTACAGGCTTCTCATTGAGGTGGCTTCTCTTGTTGCAGAGCACAGGCTCTAGGATGCACGGGCTCAGTAGGTGTGGCGCACGACCTTAGTTGCTCTGTGGCACGTGGAATCTTCCCAGACCAGGAATCGAACCCATGTTCCCTGCACTGGCAGGCAGATTCCCAACCACTGGACCACCAGGGAAGTCCTAGAGATGTTTTTAAGCTGCTCATTTAGTTATATAAGCAGAAATGTCAAGGAGAGGTGCATTATGTAATTTGCAGGGAAATCAATGCCCAAGTAAATGGCTGGCCAGTTCATGCATCCTAAAAGGCAGATATGGATAAGGACACAAATAACCTGGTAGATCTGGCAGAGGCACATGGGAAAGTTCTCTTTTGATTGCTTCTATTTTCCTAGTAAAATAAAAAAGTCAAGTCATCAGTTGAGAGGGTAGAGGGGAGGGAATTGCTGCTGGAAGATTGCAGGAAATGACAAAAATATGAAATATTCAACTAGGAGAGTGAATTAACTATGGAAATATAATAGGACTGGCAGCAACTCAGAGGCTCATGAGGTTGGGGGGTCACAAACTTAAAGTGAGATCAGTCAGCACAGGTATATGTACTTTCCTCTAACCAGGCTGAACTGCTTAGATACAGGCAAGGAAAAGATGGAAAATTAGATTTAATCAGGGCTGAGTTTTTTTCAGGCAAGTATGATGGAGAGAGTGGGGAAAGGGAATTGAAGAGTATACACAAATCAGTGATTATAACAGTGAAGCACAGAATCTAAGATAGGAGGATAAAATGCAATGGAAAAAGGAAATTAAGGTTGGTTTCTATTTTCACACCCAAGACATACTTAGATTTGCACGATAATGAGGCCCAGCCACCATTCACAGAGGTGGCAGGACTGTCTGTGGATCACTTGAGTACCTCTCTCTTGTCTTCATTTAAGACCTGACTTACATGGACACATGGTAGATGGGTGGTCACACTACTAAAAACCAAATGAAAAAAAATCTTTTTCAGGAAGAAAAGAGTAGTAAGACAACAAAATTCTACAAATCATATTTGTCCCAAATAGATAATTCTGCAATCCCATTTAACATTTTAAAACTTGTAACTGGTTTAAAACAATAAAAATACAGATCTAGGTTTCCTCAAAAGTTAGCTAACAAACCTCAACCTAACCAAACAGACTTATACATCGAACATTTATAATATTTTTAAATATGGCAATGATGACAAAGTAATAGAAAAAATTTCAAGTTGAATACATTTTCCTAAGTGCTTTACTAATTATAATCACCCTAATAAACACATGTGTTCATGAGACAGAGAGGGAAAGAAGAACATTTTTAAATAGTTTAACAATATAGAGACTAAATCACTTAAGAAAAAAAGCAATATCAATCAAGTCTGCTGAGGCAGAGAAAAGCAAGTTTCTGAAACAGAGACCTAGGATGAAAACTCCTGGTCTCCCTTTTCCCTAAGATCCCACAGCAATACCTGAGGCATCAAGGAACATAATACACTCTTATGTACAGGGTTCTCATATGGTATCAACAAATCAGCCAAAGGCACTTGAGTGAACTAACACAAAATCCTACATGAGCTGGTTCAGGGACTCCCAACTTTGGCACTAATATCATTCTGGACTGGATCATTCTTTGCTGTGGGCACCTGTCCTGTGCATGTCAGATGTACACCAGCATCCCTGGCCTCTGCCCAGCAGCTGCCTATGGCATCATTCCACCCACCTTCTAATTCTGACCAAAAATTGCTTCAACATTGCCAAATGTCCCCTGAGGGGTAAACCACCCCGGCCGGAGAACCACTAACTTGGCTGTGATGTTTTTATGGAGTTTTATCTCACTCACAGGCAGAAAACAAACCTACCCCAAACCTGTGCAGCATTAGCTGCTCTACATCACTGGGTAAGCCATAAAATTAATTCAAACACCAGGAGATGACCAAAATGTTTTGAAAGGAATTAACTACAGGAATATGTAAGTCTGGCCAGGATAAAAACCTAATGTTTGGATGGGAAACCTCTTTCTTGACAGAACAATGAGCTGCAGGCCTAGAAGTAATCAATTTATACTGAGAGAACAGGATCAGCTCTTATAAAATGTAAACTGACTGATACAGATCTGAATCTAAGTTAAGTGATTCACAGGTAATGCTATGAACGTTGCTCCTTAAGACGTCACCCCCCTTGGGTAATTAATGGAAGAGAAACTGCTTGAGTGTTCCGGGGCTTCTTGGTCTCCTGCAACAGGCGCCACATTTCTCCAGGTGAATGCTTACCGGCAAGGGATTGGATAAGGAATGTTGCGGTGAGGATCGTGCAACTGGTGGAACACTTCTGCCAGGGCTGGTTCCTGGCCCGCTTCCCCCAGCAAACTGGCCAACAGGGAAAAACGGATATGAATAATTCACAACAGTACTATGCTTCAGATAAGGAGAGTAAAAGATTAATACACAAACAGGTCTTAATTATACACGGTCCCTATAAGTCTACACATTTTATTCTAGAGAGAAAATGCCATGTAAGTCAAATTCTGCTATTTTTCCAATGACATTTTAACGAGAAGCTCCAGCAGAAATGTACCAAGATATAAGGAAAACATGGCTAGAAACCTGAAGGTACACATGATTTTGAAAAGACATAAGAGAAGAATGTTTTCCCTTCTTGTCTCAAAATACATGAAGCAGGAATACAGTGCATGTTAGTGTCCCCTTCAGTAACCACTAAGGATGGGTCAGTGAGCTTACTACAGGTTCCACTGGACTACAGGTAGAGGACAAAAGAAGAGTCCAAGTCATTCCACTTCAACCTTGTAAGACAGAAAACCTAGTCTGGCCAAGAGAACAATCACCTCATTTGTGAATTTTTATATCATCACAGACAAGACACATCATGAACAAATTTAAATTTAGGAAGTCAGCAGCTGTTTCCTCTTATAGAGATGGGGCAACATCAGGTTGATGAAGGTGGGGAGGAAGGGGAGGAGAGCACAGTAAAGGCAATATATTCCTTTCTAAAGCTTTAAATGAATGAAAGGATTTAGGTTCTTTTTTTTTTTTAAGTCACTATAGATTTCTTTTTCCAAAAATTTAACTTACCTCAAAGTAATCACTAATTTTATGTCCCCTAGGAGTGCCTTTCCCTGAAAATAAAACCAAAGTAAGTATAGTTTTTCCAGTAACACAAGTAAACCATCATTTGCTAAAGTGTATTATGTATTCAATGACTGCCTATGCTGTTACCAATTCAAATGTCAACTTTACTTTTAACAAATGAGCCAAAATACCTGTTTTCTAAGAACAGAAGACAGTTTCCACCACAAAATAAAACACTGAAATAAGCAGTGAAAGAAAGACCTTTTCACAGCTTGCTTTCCTTTAAGATTCACTACTCTTTCTTTTACAAGTACACTAACAAAGCTTATGCCACAACTGTGAATCAAAGTAAAACTAAAATATAAACTACACCCCCAACTAAGAGGATAAAAAAATTCAAAACAAATTCATCAGAACTAAATGGTTTATTCTATTTCACAAGTAAGTTTATATGACCTGTTACTTCGGGAAAATTTTCTCCCACAAAAGTAAAGAATGATTTGCAGATTGAAAGATACAAAATGGGGGGGGGGGGGGGCTTTCATTTCTTGAAAGCTCTTCCATTTCATTTATTCTTTCTTTAATTATTTAAAGAAACCTGGCATTATGACCATCATATTTACAGATTTATTCCACTGGGCGCCAATTATTCAATTGAGTAACTGACATGGAAGAAGGGTAGGTAAAAGGACAGCCATGTAAATGAAACCATTTCTGCTTGCCTATTATTAACAAACCAGTGATCTGTTGCAAGACATAGTTAAAACTGCTATGTAATCTCTTTTCTGTACAATAAATGCTTAGTCTGAAGACAAATCCATGGTGAGAAGACTATTAATTTACAACAGGGAAAACTAGAAAATCCCCACAGAATTGACACTGTTTTGTCAAGTGTGTATCAAATGTCAAGTCTATCATAAACAGGCGGATATTCCCTTAAGGAATGCAAATCTCCATTGTTAGGAATCCCTGTACATACACAAACTAATTCGTGTGAGCTGGAAGTTTTATACCTAAGTACAATAAGAATTGATATTTTTACTGGTGTGAAATTATTACTACCTTGGCTAGTTTCATATGGTTCAGCTTTTCTTTTCCGGTTTCGCTGGTCATTCTGTTTTTTCTCAGGAGTCTGTTAAATACCATATACATCACAATTAGCATTTTGTTAAATTTTTCACGTTATGAAAATTAGAGTGTATGTAAAAAAATGTCAAATTTATGAGGAGAATTAACTGGCTCAGAAGTCCTAAATGAGTGTCCTACTCTTAGAGCAGGGTCATGGAAAGAATATAAGATTTGGAATCAAACCATTTATACAATTTTTGGCCAACTGCTTAAAATATCAGAGCTTTAATTTACTTATGTGTAAATCAGGGTTGCTGCAAAAGCTTAAATGAGCTATTTTATAAAGCACAAATGTAGTACAAGCATCTAGCATATAGTAGGCTCTCAAATAACAGTTGTTACAATATTTTTTTCTTTTTGAGGCCACGCCATGCAACTTGTGGGATAGTAGTTCCCTGACCAGGGACTGAAAATCCAGACCCCAGCAGTGAAAGCACTGAGTCCTAACCATTGGACCACCAGGGAATCACAATATTTCTACTTTAAAAGAGCTTAAATCTAAAATTTTTTTCCAAAAAAAAAGAAGTATCTGCATGATCAGTCAACTAACTAGACTATTCAAAGTCTTATCTAAGTGCAAAGTAAGCAGTTATATATTCAGCTAGGTTATTTGCCTTTAAAAAACAAAAAACTTCAAATTTTGTTACTGAAGTCTTTCAGGCCAAACTGATTCACTCTGCTGAAGCACTAAGAAGTGCTAAAATTCAAGGAAACCTAGACTAATTCAGCTACAACTGCAAATTTCTACCTTTTATTGATTATTATGATTACAGTAATAAAAACCCATCAGGGCCACATGACAACTGTGCAGACACAAAGAGCACACAACTCTAAGGGGAATCATTCACAATGACCCTAACGGGACCCCAGAGTCTGCAGTGCTATGGTTTAACCCAGATCTAAAGTGTGGGAATATGAGAAGTCTTGCAATGGATGTGGCTTCTTACCTCTACTTCTTTATCACTCAAGGACCCCACGCTGCACAAGCTCTGGTTGGAAGACTCACTATTGAGTGGCCCCTGAAAAGAAAAAAACAAAAAGGAATCAAAAGAAACTAAGATGACAGCAAAAAGGAGGAAGAAGCCATGTGATTGTGATATCTACATCAAGTCAAAGAAACCAAGAATTAAGTGCAACACCTCTGGGCCAACTTGAAAAGAACTCCATCCATCATATAGTAGAGGGCACTCATGTTAAAATTCTCTACCTAATGTTATTTTCATTTCCTTTATAAACTCTGAACTCCTATGCAAACTTTCCCCTTCTAGAGCACTTCCACATGGACCAACTTCATTCTTTAAGGAAAATAAGCAAGGGAAAAACGATTCTCGTGCTTCTTGTACCTTATAGTCGATATCTGAAAGTTGAGATGTTAAGGATATGTCAAAGGTTCCTCATGAAGGGGTGATCAGAGACCATAATGAAGGAAACATTTTTTTGAGTCATGCTTTAAAGAGACTGCCAGTTCAAAAAACAGTTACAGGAGACTGACCTCTAAGCCTAACAGCTTGAGGATCTCTGCTACCCTGCTGCTCAGAGAAAATGATGAAAATTATTTTTTAAAACCACCATTCAAAGCCTCTGACAATGGTCCCTAAGGGCAAAGAGCTCATAAAGAAACAACCATTCAATAAAATCTAGGAAAAATTTAGCCTGCAAGGTGAAAGTCTGTGGTACCTGAACTAAGGTCCCGCTTTTCTCCCCATATCCCACCCTCCCATCTCAGCAGGGTTCCCGACTGCTGCAGCCAAGAGCGCAAGACCCCTCCTCCCCCAGCTCTCGGCCGAGGGCTCTCTTTCTGAGGAGCAGGACTTGAGGATTCTCATTCCGCCCCCAGCACTCTGTCACTGAAGCTGCGTCCCAGCCAAGTACGGCGAAGTCAGGGGGCTTCCATCTGCCTGACACTGACTTGTGGAAGGCAGACTCTGCCTTCGTTTGGTACACGGAGAATAACGGGACTCCAACAGGCCTCTTGCCCAGCTCATAAGGTAGTGGCTCCGCATTATGAGAGACAAGCTGCTGTGTGCACCCCATCTACACCTCCGCTTCTGGTGTTCAGCTCCTAGAGGCTAAATGTCACTCACAGAAAAGTGTTACTCATTGTCCCCACCCCCAGCACCAGAACCCTGGCTTAGATATTTTGCCGGGGGTAAAACGTTGCAACATATAGTACCAAATCTCTTCCCAAAGGACCTGACTTCATTCTCAACAGAGTGTGGACAAGTTTAAATCTACAGATATTCAATAGAGACTGTGGCAAAAGGCAAGTGGGAAAATATTTGTGTAATGAGGATACAGCCTAGACTGTAGGTCAGTTAGTTAGCGAGAGAGAACCAAGGAATAAGGCCCCACCAGGGAGGAGTCATCCTGCGGTCAGAACAAATAGCAAACATTCGTCAAACAGGTATGACCTAAATCAAATCCCTTACGATTATACAGTGGAAGTGAGAAATAGATTCAAGGGATTAGATCTGACAGACAGAGAGTACCTGATGAACTGTGGACGCAGGTTTGTGACATTGTACAGGAGACAGGGATCAAGACCATCCCCAAGGGAAAAAAAAATGCAAAAAAGCAAAATGGCTGTCTGAGGAGGCCTTACAAAAAGCTGTGAAAAGAAAAGAAGCGAAAAATAAAGAAGAAAAGGAAAGATATACCCATTTGAATGCAGAGTTCCAAAGAATAGCAAGGAGAGATAAGAAAGCCTCCCTCAGCGATCAGTGCAAAGAAATAGAGGAAAACAACAGAATGGGAAAGACAAGATTTCTTCAAGAAAATTAGAGATAACAAGGGAACATTTCATGCAAAGATGGGTTCAATAAAGTACAGAAATGGTATGGGCCTAACAGAAGCAGAAGATATTAAGAACAGGTGGCAAGAATACACAGAAGAACTATATAAAAAAGATCTTCACGACCCAGATAATCATGATGGTATGATCACTAACCTAGAGCCAGACATCTTGGAATGTGAAGTCAGGTGGGCCTTAGGAAGCATCACTACAAACAAAGCTAGTGGAGGTGAGGGAATTCCAGTTGAGCTATTTCAAATCCTAGAAAATGATGCTGTGAAAGTGCTGCACTCAATATGCCAGCAAATTTGGAAAACTCAGCAGTGGCCACAGGACTGG